GAGCCACTGCACCAGGAGGCGGCGAGCCACTGCACCAGGAGGCGTTGAGCCACTGCACCAGGCTCCCTCATCTCTCTCTACATGACCTGGGGTAATTCGCACCCACAGTGTGAAATTCAAGACATAAGAGGAGTCACCGTCCTCTCCTTGGGACGACCTGGGGATGCCACTGCAGGCGGCCCCATCCTGGGCTCGTCACAGGGTCAGAGCAAGAGCGCTGATCCGTTGTTTGATAGAAACAGTCTATTGTTAATTGGTTTTGTTCATTATCTCTGCATTCAGATAAAAAACTTCATCAATTAGTGTTACGCAGGAGATGGGGCGGGTGGGGCGGGGGCTGTGTGTTTTGGGTTCATGGGGGTGTATTTGGGGAGGGGCATCCCCACGATGTCAGTGACTGCACAGGCTACACGGTGCAATTAGGGGCAGCTAGAAGCTGGTGAAAGCACAAATACCAAACAAAAATGCTTTACATAAAAGGAAATTAGTGTCGCTCTGGTAATACATTAAATAATTCAATGTATCAGAGGGTAATTCAGAACAGAGAGATGCTCAGCCCTAATGCAGAGGAATATATAGAAATATATATATATATATATATATATATATATATACACACACGGCATATTTCAGCAAAAGGTACATAGATCTGAAATAAAAGCAAACAACACCATATTTAACCGTTTTCAAAATACAGTTTGTTCAGAGACCGAGCCACAGCGCTTTGCCAGAGCCGTAGACGTGAACCTGACCTAGACTGGCCGTCTCCTGTGTTCTGCAAGTTTGTTTTCTTGGACGTATTCTTATCACAAGTTCTGTCAAGTGGAATTAACATCACAAGACGGTTTAAAAAGTGCACTTTAGCAGCCAGATATAAAAGCGACACAGGATACCAAAAAAAAGACAAATATAGACCAAAAAAAACACATCATGTTCTAAATAACAGCCTCTCCCAAGGTCTCAGTTGGCTGAAGCAAAACACTGCAGTAGCTGAGATATTTGAACCTGTAACTGATAAGCTTTGCAAATAAAAAAAGCCATTTTTGAGTATTTTCCAAGTTGAGAAATTAAAAAAAACCCTGAAAATATATATTACCACTTGCAAAGACACTTTGGGAATCTGGGAATAATAAAATAAAAAGAAATATATTCATTCCTTCTTAAAGCTACAGTCATTGTTAACCGCTCACCTTCCAAACAGTAACCCAAGGTCCAGCCACTGGACAAGGGGGGGGGGGGGGGGGGGGGGGGGGGGGGGCAGGAGCAAGGGCAGGTCAAGGAAACCTGATCGGCTACGGAGATGCCTGGCGTCAGAGATGTGAGGGGGGTTCCTCCTCCCAGCTGCCCAATGCAAGCGGTCTGCTTACACCAAGGTCACATGGTCAAGGGGACAACAGGAGGCTAGGGAGTAGCTACCCAAATGGTACAAATTATCCCGTCAATGGTGATCCGTCACATGGCGTTTATACCCAATATTCCTCACTCGAAATGCATGTCACATTGTTGCTATTAATACGACATACCCATGGTTGGTTCCTTGGACGCTAGATTCATAAACTGTCCATCAACAGTTCAATGCAGAACAAAAGGATCCCCCCCGGGAATAAATTTTGAACTCACTTCTTATATAGCAGAATGGCGATGACGATGCAGATGATAAAGACTACGGCCAGCACAGGCCCCACCACCCAAATAAGGCCGTCTCCGCCCTCGATGGGCTGTGGGTCTATGTCCGGTGCGACTGCCGACTCCGTGAAGGGGCTGGCCACGAACATCTTCTACAAGGCCAAACAAATGCTCCAGGTGAGCCAGAGCGAACATTGGGATGAAAGGAGAACATGGCGTGCCCTTCGTCAGCGGGAGCCAACAGCGGGCAGCTGACTGCCGACTCACTAACCCCGGACGTCGTGTTTAGCTCCGCGAGCAGGAAGAAGACGTACTCCTGCCCGGGCTCCAGGAGCCGGTTCTCATAGCCGCTGTACTCCATCTGGTCACCCAAGGTGAAGAAGGAGGGCAGGCTGGCAGGCCTGAAGCAGGCAGCAATGTATGGCTTGTGGGGGTCGGCATGCCGGCGCTGCCGCGTGACCCGCGTGCTGCGTTTCTGACCGTCTCTGAACAGCTGGCCGGATGAGATGGAGGCAGAAACAGAGAACAAAAATGTGGTTTTTACTTTGACTGTCTATCACAGGCCTCGCCCACCCTGTCAAATGTTTGGCCCTCCTCAGGAAGAACGGAATGGTACAACTTAATATATCTGGTCGATCTGCTAGCATCCCCTCCAAGCTCCTGCTTGGCAAATTTACTGCTGATCCCCCCAGATAATCCTGTGGCCCATCCAACAATCCAACACTGGAGCCAAGCCTGGTATATAGACACCTATATTCAGGCTTTCTCTAATTCATTTTTCAAATAATTTTACCTACATGTCACAGAAACCTTAGATACTGAGTCAATTTTTTTATATATATTAAATGAATATGGGTTAACCACTACTCTAAATAACTCCAGAGGGAGAAAAAAATATCCATGGAAGACAAATACCCACCTACTGTATAATGACAATGAAAGTAAGACCTCATTGCATAAGTGTTCAGAGCTGAACACAGAAAAAGTCCTTTCTAAAAGCTCACCACTCCGCTCTAGAAGAAGCTGTTAGTTGCTCTAAAGAGCGAGGATGGGACATCTCCAAATGCATACCTCGTCTAGGTCCATCTCTTCAGGGCTCTTCAAGTGTGGAGGAAACCCCCTAAACTTCTTCAGAGGCACCACCACCACGTAGATGTACCTGTATGCACAGCACATGGTCTCGAAGGAGCCTCAACGCTGTCCCCTCATTTCACAAAGACCAAAACCTCTGTTTGACTGTCTTGACCAATACTGACCAATCACAATTTTCCTGGCTTGCCTTGGGCAAACACCTGACAATTACGACCATCGATTAGAAACCAGTGAAGAGGAAAGCTGGCCTGTAAAGCCACAGTAATGAAAGTAGAGGTCTGAGCAGGTGTTGATGTAGGCGCATGAGATGGAGGCCTTGGCTCACCTGATCGAGTCACGTATCTCGAGTGGGGGAAAGATAATGGTGAGACTGGCATCAGTGTCGCGGTTGTGGTCGAGCTCCGGCTTGCGGACCGATATGGAGGGGGCGGTCTTGGCATGGATGCGGTGCCGCAGGCCGCCCATGTTGCCCTCTGGGCTGGTGATCTTGAAGTCGTAGGTAGTGTTGGGCCGCAGGCCGGTGATCTGCGCCTTCCTCAGCCGGGCGTCCACTTCCAGCTTCCTTGTCTTGGCGTCGGCGTCCATCTTGTATTCCACCTAGAAAGGGTGGTACAAACGAGCCGGACACAGGCAACTAAGCAAGCTGCAAAGAAGATGGAAGATGGCTCCTCCATGCCGAGAAGCTTGCCAGGTGAGAAGAAAACATAAAGGAGGAAAACAAAAACAAGATAATTCTTTGTGGCGTCTTCAGATCTTAGTATCAAAGCCCCTAACACATGAACATGGTGCACTGAGGTACATAGAGTCCTTCCAGGACCTTGGCACTCACCGTGAATCGGTACACGCTGCGTGTCTCCGGAAATTCCCAGGTCAGCAGTACCGTTGTCTTAGTCGCCATCTTCACCGAGAAATTTTTTGGGACGCCTGTCAGGAGAAAAGGAGGTAGAGAGAAAAAGAAAAGCAGCTCGATGAATCCCACCGGGAAAAAGAGGCAGCTGGGAAAGAGGAGAGAGGGGCTGTTAGCGTCGAGCGGCGGGGGGGCCCGATCCCTGGGGGTCCCTCTGCAGTGAGCTGGGAGTGGTGGTTGCTGTGAGGGGGGCAACTGCAGCCAGTTAAGACACAGAGGACATGACCGCCGGACATGGACTGATGGAGCACACAGCTGCCCACCGCCCCACCCTTTCTGGCAGTGCCCACCTTTGTCTTACTGCATTGTTCTCATCTGAATCCAAATTGGACACACAGGTTACACCAGAGCTCAGGTAGGGGTGCGCTAGCCTGAGCTTGGATGGGCACGACCATCGGGGATGGTGCGGGGGGGCGCACAGACAGGAAACGAGCATGCCTACAGTCGTCAGGAGTGCCTGTCGGGGAATGCCATGCCGTCATGAGGTAGGTAGTGGGGGTGAGCAGGGGTGGGAGGTATTTAAATTAAATCCAAAATAAAATAAATAAAATCAACTGAACTGAGAAGTAGGGTGTGACAAATTCAGAGCGCCTACCTTGGCATTGGGGAGTGTGTGAGGCTGCGTTAAGTGAGTGTGCTGCCGGGGACTGGACCACGTGTGTCTGACACCTGAACACTTACCTCCCGACGTGACCAGGGGCCGCCCGTGTTAACGAGCTTTTACTGACTGAGGTCTGACTGACTGTTACCTTTAGGTTAGTGCAGTTAGTGTCTCCCGCATACAGTGCTGCTGTTGTTTGTTGTTGCATTTTTCGTGGAGGTTTTGGTGGCGGTTAGTTCGGTTTGGTTTCATAAATTTTTTTCTCCCCCTAGGGAAAGAAACAAGGAATCCCTACCTGTCTCGAAGGCCACCGTACGATACTGGACCGTGGGGCTGTAGGGCCCTGGACCTACACTGGTGTGCGCACGGATTTTCACGTCGTACGCTGTGATGGGCTGGAGGCCACTGAGCGTGTAGCTAGACTCGCTGGCTGGGAGAGTCAGTTCACGGGGGACACTGGAGGTGCCCGCCTCCTTGAAGGCCACAGTGTACTCGGTGATGACGCCGTTGCGCTCCGCCAGCACTGGGGGAAGCCAGAAGAACTGAACCGAGCAGCAGGTGACGTTGGAGCCCTCTGAGATCTGGGGGTAGCCTTTGGGGACCTCCTCCGGGATGGTCAGTTCCCTCAGGGCCTCCTCACCAAAGCCGGAGCGACCCTTAGCGGACAGCCGGAAGACGTAGCTGGCACCCCGGTGCACGTTATCCATAATGTACTCCTGCTCCTGAGACGTGAACTCCAGTGTAGCCAGAGGGCTCACATCCTTGCGTCCAAACTGCAGCCGGTAGCCCTGCACCTCTGAGCCGAGGGTGCCCACTTTTGGTGGCTGCCATCGCACCACCGCCATATTCCCCATCCCTTGACTGACTGACAGGGAGGGCTGGCCGGGGACTGCATCCATGGGGGGGGGAGGGACAAAGAGACAAGAGAGAACAGAAGAAAAACCACAGGGGTTAAGAAGGTTTTTCTTTTTACTGCATACAGGTCAGTTTCTAGCAGCTCTTGGACACCATGTGGCTGGATGGGGGCCTTTTGCTTGACAGCTCGGGCCGTGCCAGGACCTCCAGCGATACTCCATTGCAGTACCCAGAGTGTGAACCTCGCCATAGGCACCATCACTGCGTGGACTGCTTGGAGGACAGCAGCTCCTGTTATCCTTAGCGTCGATAACAGGACTTCGAACATCTACACCCATCGGTTTACACCCCTCTACTGAAAAGATTGGCGCAGCTGCAACAAAGCCTTAAAAAAGATAAGAAAAAAAGGCAGGCTGCCTAATCTGTGCCGACGATGCTTTGTGGTACTGCTTAAAAAATATTACCACCAGGGAGAGTGCGGACAGCAGAGGACAGCGCTTACCTTGCCTGAAGGCAAAGAGACCGATCAAGGTGACAGGGAGAAGAATCCGCCATCTCCCAAAACACACTGACAGAACAACCTCTCCCAGTTATTCCCACACCAGTTGTCTCTACCACTAATTACAAGGCCAGAGGCACGTTTAGCACCAGATGTGGAATAAAGGACTGGTGCTGAATGCACGGTTACAGGCTGAGGGATGGTCTGGGGCTCTCGGCCGGACGTCGGCCATTTCCCAGCTGCTTGATAATTATCTTTATGCAACCTCCCAGTCCGGTGCAGCAAAGGTGATGACACCATAGTGTCACAAATAACCTAGCAATAACGCAGCACTACATCCACCCACATGGATCACGTTCTTATATATAAACAGGAGGATGGTTGCTCTCTGCTCTTTATAACCACTCCCAAAAATGCTCCACAGCACTTTCTACTGGACTAATATATAGGCGATCGAGAGAAGGCACTGGCTGACATTGGAGGACAAATTTAATTGAAATGGCTCCCCACACACCTAATTTAGCTGCATGGAAAAAAAAACTTCCCTTGTTCCCTGGTATTTGCCCGAGGTCTTAAAAACACAGTCACTTTCCAGCACACTCATACAGAATGGACTAATCTGTACCAATCAAGAGAGTTGAAGGCAAATTTGCAGAACAACTGGGTAAGGAAGGGACTGTCAGTTTTTTACATCAACTTCACTTTTTTAACTCTGAAATTTTGAATTTAGGGCTTTGTGCTGTGTTGCTGTGTATTGTGCAGTGACCCTTCCAGTAGGCATGTGANTCAGACAGTCCACATTTTTGCTCCCTCCTGGCTCCCTGTCAGACAGTCCACATTTTTGCTTCCCTCCCAGCTCCCTGTCAGACAGTCCACATTTTGCTTCCCCCCAGCTCAAAACACTGCTCTAGGGAAAGGACACGTTAATCTCCAATAGATTCAGTCAAGTCTGCTGCTTCACACGCCCCCTGAGACCTGGGTGTCAGGATGTCACAGCACAGGGGACTCGCTGCCTGGGAGTTTGAAGTACAGCCTGTGAATGCCTGGTTCATGTAGCTACATTTATTATTTTACAAATGCAATTTATGAGCAGACACAAGAATACTGATTTTCTAAATTCAGCACCTTGAAGGAGGACAAAAAAATGATAAAAATATCTGAACTAGAAGTTACAAAAAATATTCACCAAAACAATGGAAAAAAACAAACAAAAACCAAAAACATAAAGAACACTGGCAGGAAGATTATATTTTTATTTCAGAATAAATAACCTAAACTTTGCAATATCAGAGATTTTATTACGTATTTTTTTAACGGAGCTGCAGAGAGTGAGCATGTGGTCGATACGGAGAAGAGCAGTAATGAAGGACCTGCTCATCCTCGTCCTTCCCTGAGCAGCCTCTGCTCTTAGCTTGAGAAGAAGCTTCTTCCTGTTCTGTCCGACGGAAGTGGCATAGGGCAGGCCGGCTCCCCGTAGTCATTAACCGGCACTCAGCTAATTCGCTCCATCGCTGTAATTGCTCGTTCCATTTGAGACATGAAGGTCTGGGCGGCCGCCAACACGGTCACGCCTGCCCGATGGCACGAGGCAGGAAATGGGCCTGATTTTACGACGCAAGAAAATTAGCCTGTGTTTGTTAATGCAGAGTATCCTCCCCTTCCTGTTACCCGTCTTCTTTTTCAAACCTCCTCGGGGGAGGTGGTGGATGTGGGTTGGGGTGGGGGATGGGGGGTGCTCGGTTGTGCGGGACCGTCTGCACGGGCTCTGCTTCCCGCATCTCTGACAGCGACATCTCATCCTGCCACGATCTACGCGAATCACACTTTAACTGTCTGTCGCCCAGAACGACCGCATCCTCATCACGGTTTCCCGGAGACCCGACTGCGAGCGGCAAACGAGCATCTCATTCCCGGGCCGTGCAGTCTGGGTTGTCATAGCCTGAAATCCTCGTAAATAGGAAATTACATTAAAATGGCCCATTCTTAATTAAAAAGGACGGGCGGATCAAATCCCGACAAGGCGACTGTAAACGGAGACACGCGGAATGCCTCCCTATTTCACTCTGACAATAACTAATTAAGGACAGGGAGGTGCAGAAATCCTCGTTCTAAGAGCGGCATTCGACACGGATGGGGCAAGGAGGCGGAGCTGGCAAGGGTGGCACTAGCAATCGGGAAACTCAGAAATGAAAGGTTCTGTGATGATTCGGGTCTCCGTGGAAGACTGACAGCCAGGACCGGGGCTGAGGGATACAGCCACCACGACGCAGGAGCCTCTGAACGATGGAATCGGAGAGGGGAGCAAAGACAACACGAGGAGGAGGAAAGACCCAGGGAGCCTGGGAGAGAAGAGACGTCACTTAGCTTTACTTCATTAGCCAGCTAGACTGAAGTTGAACCTGCGGCACAACAGAAACAATAGTGAAAGCATGAGCCAGATGCCTCAGGGGGGCTGGGGAAGGAAGGGGCGCTGGGAGGGTGAGGAGCTGGAGTCGGGCCAGCAGACACAGTGACACGGATGGGATTTTTAACGCGTGGTCGCGGGGCATCTTGCGCATTTACAGCACGTGCTGAAATTGGACGGCTGCTCCTCCAAGTGCACGGAAACATGGTGGTCTGAAGTAATGACCGCCATTAGCTAATGGAGATGTTACAAATGCTCAGTGCCCTGTTTAATTGCACCAAAATGTCCCTTTGAATCAAATTCTCCGAGTGAACAGATAATGGCATTGCGTGATTCAATGGGCCTATAGGAAATAAATGTTCAAAAAAAAAGGGAGGGGGGGAGTTGCAGGTAATTAATATGCAGGATGAGCGTGAGGTCTGAGCGCGGTTCCTCTTGGCTGCTGGAGAAGGATCCGTGGGACGAGGAGAGGCAAACAAGATGAAAATGTCATACTCGTTTTCTCGCAAACAAGACCTTGCTGCTGATAGCGTGGTCACATGATCGCACAGGTGATTTGCTAGATCGCTGCCCGTCTCCTGGGGCTGGCCGAGCTCTGATGCCCCCCACCCCTTCCTGCACTGTCAAGGGAAAGGAGATCCTTTGATGGGATGGGCCAGTGGGGCGCCATGGAGACCGATCGGCAAGACTAGGGAGCGTAACGTGGCCGGAACCACTGGGCCCAGACGAACGGGCGCCGGGGTCGGATGGGCGTGACGAAAGGATGTCAGCCAGGGTGGACAAATGGGGGGGGGGGCATGAAGACAGAATTACAGGCTCAATGGGGGCTGGCATGTCAGGGCTGCGCGAGCGAGGACCACAGTGAGCGCTCAGGGGTCATCATGGAAACAAAAACTCTCTGAGAATATGCACAAAAGGCAAAGGGTGACATCTGCACTGATTTAAGAAAATGGTTTGCTAATGAAATACTGGTAAATGGTGGAAAACCCATGATGGGCAGAGAATTGCATCCCCCTCATGGGTCTCGCTCACGGTCACGGTCACTGTGGCGCTGAGGTGTCGTCCGGCTGCTCACCCGAGGGAACAGAGGACTCCCCCACACGCCACGACAGAGAAGAGCGCCCCCATGAGGATGAGCGGCAAACGGCGAGCCGAGGCGAAACGTGCCTGGGGTTTGGAAGTTGATGCGTCTCATCTCCACGGGGTCAGTAGGGTGGTGTGCAATAATCTCAGCGTTGTTCAGCAGACATTTGGTACGTGGTTCTGAGTCCTTCCGTTTGCTGCTTGGTGGCGAGAAAAAAAACATTAAGTGTTAACCTTTAAATGTCACAAACATGACAACAGAGAAGGTTCCGACGAAGGGAATCAAACACGGCGGGCTCTCGAAACACGCACAAAGCGCGAGACAAGACAAGGCTACACAGGGCCAGGTGTTTGCACCGCTCTGACATTTCTCAATGAGCTTTTGAATGATCAAAAACAGAAAGCAAGAAAAAAAACATTTTCCCTGACCGCTGGATTCCGCTGTCTTTGTAGAACATGGGCGAACGCGATAAAATACAGTGAGCCTTACCTGTCAGGTTTGCTGCTTCCAAAGACAGCAGTGGAATAAATACAGAAATGGAGAAAAAGGACAAAGAGGGAAACGGAAATCAATACAGAGCGTTTAAATTCAAAAGGGAAGCAGATAAACAGCGTGGATAGATGATATGATGGTGGGGGGGGGGGGGGGGGGGGGGGGGGGGGGGGGGGCAAGGGCACAGGGGGCCTGTTCCAGTCAGCACAGGGCCAAAGCCTGAGGTCCGTCCAATGGCACATGCACAGTCACACACAATACAGCCATTTCAGAGCCACCAATTGGCGTGACTGCACGTCTTTGGCTGTGCGACATGCGAACTGCACAAAGCTGCCCCCTAGGGCTGTGAAGCAGAAGTGCTGCCGACAATGATAATTCTGAAAACAGAATAATTTGAGGAAAGTGCTGTATATTGTCTATTGAATATTATGTATTGCAATATAATATCACTGGAAGGTCTGTTCCTGTATTCCAGTAACATTCACATCAGCCAATCTCTGAACTCGGAAAAGGCAGTTGCACCAGGAGGCGGTGAGCCACTGCACCAGGAGGCGGCGAGCCACTG